ATGGATGGGCAGGAGACGCTTTCCAGACAAGCTAGTGTCATTGTGTCTTTGTTCCATATTCTTGTTGTGTTAGGGCAAAGCAAATCTTCTTCTGTTAACTGCCTCATTTCCTCCTGACATCAAACCTGAGCTAAGAGAATGCTGGCATTAGAATCTCTTTATTTTTAATTTTAATAGAATCTCTTCTAACAATTGCTATTTTGTGTCATTAAATGCATTTTACTCGGAATTCATGTGTCACCTGGCGTGATCTGGCATAGTAATACATTGGTAGGGGGCTTAAATTGTACATCTGAAGCTGTAATACAAGTAGTATTCTGAATCTGAATGTTTCTATGAGGAGTGCTACATTTGCATATACTACACAGGGTTTTTGAGGATAAAGCATTCACATATTACAAAACCTGAGCCACAAAAAATTTAGCCACACAGAGAGTTTTAATAAGTAGTGTTCAAGAAGCATCATACTCAAATATTCATTTGTCCTAATTCAAAATGTTTGTATGATGCATATTACATACAACTTAGTGAAATTTCTTGTATGCAGGAAATTCCTAGCATGTATCATATATGTTGAAAAATCAAGGTCTAGCACATGGTTTCATTTCAGGAAACGTACAAGTTTTCTATCCTTAATGAATTCTGTAATAAATACACATAAATTGTACACAACAAGAAATAATAAATCATTGTCACAGAATTTAAGAACTAAAGGTAAGATAATCTATTTTAACCTATTGCCTTTAGTTTAAAGATGAGGAAACTAAGGCCCAGAACCAAATCATCTAGTGACTTTTTGTTTGTTTTTCAAACACAGAATGGCAGTTGGTGGCGCAGTGGATAGAGCACTACGCCTGGAGTCAGGAAGACAAGTTCAAATATGAACCTCAGACACTTAACTAGATGTGTAACCCTGGGCTAGTCACTTAACCCTGTTTGCCTCAGTTTGCCTGGAGAAGGAAATGGCAAATCAATTCAGTATCTCTGCCAAGAAAACCCCAAATGGTGTCATGAAGAGTTGACATAACTATAATGACTGAATAACAAGAAAGAAAGGACTCAGGGTGTTGTCCAATTCAATTCCCTTTTTATGAATTCCTTCTGCAAGATCCCAGACAAGAGTGGTTTTCAGAGCATAGATCTGATGAGGTCTAGAGGTGAGGAGTGCTGGGACCCTGAGATCATGACACTTGGGTCCTGGCCGAAAGAATTTGACCCAAGCCTTCTTTGAGCCAAAGACAAGGTTTATTAAAGTCTGCCATATTAGCCAGACTCTCAAGGAATCTGACAGTCTGTGAGGTATTGGCTAGATTCCAAGAATCAGAGCAGTGGCTAGATTATAAGAATCCCAGCATCTTAATGGAGATGAGATGGACCTTATATACAGAAAGACTATGGGAGGAATCTAGGAGTGGCCAAGTAGTTTGGGGTGACTGGAGGAGGGGGTCTAAGGAGATCTGGATGGGAATGGCCAGTAAGCTGGGGTGAACAGGACTAGTTCTAGGACTAGAAAGGCTATTTGATGGGATTATAGCCTCAGGCAAACTCCAGAGATTTGGCTGTGTGGGAAAATCCAGGGTTTTTCCTTTTGGGGATTTAGCTCCAGTCCTCATCTGATCTAGGGCTGTGAAGAGCCTCAGACATCATCTAGGCCAACCCCCTCATTTTACAGATGAGGAAACCAAACCCACAAAGATTGTGACTGTCAGGATTTGAAACAAGGCCCTTTGACCCCAGTCAGCATTTTTTCCTCGATGTATGCTCCTGCTCCTTTTATAATCACTTTCCAGTGTTAGCTGGTGGACTATAGGGACCTGACATGCGAGTAGCTTAAGTACCCTATTAGTAATGCACCAGAAATTTCCACAGGGTTTCCACCATTATATTTTAGTACTAGAACAGTTCATGTAGCCCGCTGGATATATCCAACTGATTTGAGGATATTTGAAGATGGACCAATGACATCAGAAAGCTGGTATGTTAACTTGCCAGTGAATTGGATTTAAGTGAGGGAGGGCTGTGCAAAGTTACCAGTCTCACGCTCTTCTCAAGAGCCTCTGGGTCCAGTGGCAAGATATAGATCAGCACAACTGGAGATGGCTCCAGATGCAGTGGAAGACCCTGGCCTTTTTAAGCTAAGGTCTTTCCCAGGTCTCAGTTTGTCTGAAGCCTTTGTCATCAGTAATGAATGGGATGTCCCAGTGAAGACTCCTCAGTGTAATTAAGGTTTGGGATAAGGCTGAGTGGGATAAGGGGTCCCATGAAGACTTCTCAGAATAAACAGAAATTGTATTAGACTCAAGGCAGGAGTAGTAGCCTGAGAAGCCTAAGTTTTAGTTTACTAGAAATCACCTGAGTTATGGGAGTCCAGCCCCCTTTTAGGCCATTGTTATATTAGTAGTTAAAGTTTGCCAAGTCTGAAACTCCTGAAGCCCCCACCCCGTATCTTGTACCTGTTGCTATATTCCAGTCATGGTGACCTGGCTGTACAGTACAACACGTCTCAGTAGCTAAGGTTTCGAAACCCCCCTTCTGTATCATGTTGTTACACCTGTTGCTATATTTCGGTTACGGTGGTCACCTTGCCACAACAGCACAGTGTCTAGCTTGACTGCACATTTTTGTTTCTTTGGCAACACTTCAGTAAACTAAGGGGCTAAATACAGATATGTATATAGTTTCTATGTTATGTTTTCTGCTTCTATAGATTATGAATCAAACATTGGCCAGTTGGTAGGAGGGAAGATTTGCCCGTGAGGGCTATTTAATCTGGTTCTTAGCTCCTTGTACTCTGTCTGTCTCACCTCACCAGAGCATTCTGGTGGAGGGACACCTTATTCTCGAGAATAGCAAATAAATTAACTTTCAGTTTCTCCTTGAAAAATCTCTCTCTTTTTTTAATTTGAGTGGCATCCCAAACAGTTAGGAGGACAGACAATAATCTGTGAGTGGTAGTAGCTACCCCACTGGGTACTCAATTGGCCAGTCCCAGTTGGACAAAGCTGCTCCTTCCTTCCTTCCCATTGTCTCTAGGATCAAATATAAACTCCTCTGTTTAAGCTTTTAGAAGCTGGACCCAAACTATCTTTCCCACATCATTAGACATTATGCCCATTCCAACACTGCAATCCAGCCAAACTACCCTCTCTATTCCTCATTCATGATATATCATCTTCCATCCTGATGCCTTTGCAATGGCCATCCCCCATGCTTAAAATGCAATTTCTTATCTTCATATAAAAGAATCCTCCTATTCCTTTAAGATGCAGCTCTGGCACCATCCTCTACATTAGACCTTCCCTCCTAAACTACCTTGTGTGTGTGTGTGTGTGTACATATATATATGTATATATATGTGTATGTGTGTGTGTGCATAAAACATATTTATTCACTTTATATTTCTGCTACATATTTGCATATGTAGGGATTACAAGTAGGGAATGTTTCATTCTTTGTACCTGTATCCCTAGTACCTAGCAAAGTTCCTGGAACCAAAGTAGCAGCTTAATAATACCTGACTGATTAACTTAGTCATCAAGTCAACAAGCACTTATTAAGTACTTACTATGTGCTGGGTACGATGGTAACAGCTGGCAACACAAGGGCAAAAATAGTCACTGCCCACAGAGAGCTCACATTTTAATGAGGGAGATAACATGCAAATAAATAAGTAAAATGGAATGTTATGTCATTATAATGTTCAAGCTAGGCTCTAAAAAGAGATGGAGGACTATGAGTGTGGACATATCAGACTCTGCTGATATGTCGGTAAGCTTCTATGTACTATAAAAGATTTCTCCTTTTTGTTCTTTGTTGGAAGGCACGATTCTTTGGAAAGGAGAAAGGGGAAGGGATATATCTGTCAATAAATAAGAATATTTTATCAATAATAATTATTTTTTAAAAATTCACACTCTTGGGTTTTCTTGGGATACTGGCTTCCCTCAACTTCACTGTGGTAAAGGTATCTATGATTATGCAAGAATTGAACAAATTTTGACTGGTTATATGAAGCTGCAAAGATCTTTTAGTTTCTCGTCTGAGGACCAGCTTTGCTACGGTCAGCAAGACTTGTCACCCACCAGACTGATCACAACAACCCCTGATACAGCTGACTAAGACACAGAGGAGATGGCAGGGTCGTAGATTTAGAACTTAGATCATAGAATTTAGAAGGGGCCTTAGAAATAATCTAGTCCAACCCACTAATTTTACAAATGAGGAAACCGAGACCTAGAAAGGTAAAGTACTTGGGCAATTGGGCAGAATCCTCTGACTCTAAATCCAGTCTTCTTTCATAACAGCATACTGTCCCTGTGATCTAGGTTGATGGAAGAAGTAACCACATCAGTAAATCAAGGATTTTTTTTAAATAGTGAAAAATGTAAGTCTTTAAGAAATAAAAGACCATATTAATTCTGATATAAAAGTTTCTGGTCATTCATTTTTATCCCTGTCCCTATTACCTCTAAATTCAGGTAGTAGAAACAAATGTTCTCATTACAATTCTCACTTATTTCACTTACATTCTCCTGAAGAATACTTCAATTTTTATGTCTCCCACAATATTATCAATTCAAATTGTCAGATGTTCATGGCTCAAATAAATGCTTCATTTAAGCAATTAATTTTGAAGATTTAATTTCAAATAAGCAAGTGCATGATAAGTTACATTTAAAAAATCTATTAGTTTCTAAAATTCTTAATATAGAAAACCAGAAATTCATTTGTGAATCAAATTCAAATTATATCAGTACATCGTAATAGAAATTTACCTGAAATGAAATTCATAATGCAAAATTCATAAAATGAGGGATAAAAATGTGATTATTGTGAGATTTTTTTTTTCTAGCAAGATTCGTCAATTATATCACCAATTTAAAAATGAAACAATTTTGCTTAAAGTAAACATTCTGGTACTAAACACTTTATATTCTACATTTTCAATTATATGGAAAATATATTAACAAAACTTTTTTTAACTTAAATGAACATTATAATATTCTTATATTAAGTGTTTAATAACTTTCAAGGCAGATACAATTAAGAAAACCTTTTTTACTTAACATGAACCAATAGCATAATATTCTAGTATTAAATATATTAAACAGTCTGAATATATAACTTTCAAAACACATATAAAATTGTTTCTACGAGGAATTAAAGTACTAAGTAGAACTCGTATATCATCTTATACCCTTGTTTTATTAAGATCCTTTTACTTTCAACACTATAACTTACAGGCTATTAGAGTCTCAACAGTCTATTTCAGCAGAAATGCCACCAAACAGTATCAAGCAGTAGCTGATATGTCCTATTGTACTATGCAGGGGAAAAAATAATTGGCATCAATGATGTGGGGAAATCACCAGTTCAGCAGAAAAAGAGGTAACAAAAAGGTCTTACTTTAATTTGTTGACCAATATGTTGCCATCCAGAAAAATGAAACAAAGTAAGAAAAATACATGATCTATACTGCAGGAATGTAAAATTTCACTGCAAGATAGATAATCTCTTAAAAATCTAGTTTAATATAAGATAATAATAAAGGTTTTATAAATATAGTTGCTTATAGTATCATTACATTTTGCATTTTAAAAAATATTTCTAATATTAGCTACAGATTTCAATCGAGTTCCTTCGGTGTTTCTCCAGACTCAGATACTGGTGTATCTGCAATGAAAGAAATGAAAAGATGTAAATATATATTAATCAACTAAAAGTACAATTACAACATAGTATCCGTTTTCTTAAAAGTAAAATAACAGTTCTATTACTATTATGTTTAACTACATGTTTATAAACACTGCCTAAAATCTGCACAAAATTAAGAGCATTCTTAGCCAAGAAAGCAAAATTCATCCAAGCTAACCCTAATTATGTGTGCTGTGGTACATTTTTGGAATCTTGTCTATCAGTATCAATATGACGTAATATGATGAACATTTATTAAGCTTCTACTATGTGCCAGGCATGCTGCTGAACATCGGGGATACAAATAAGATAGAGAAAGATAATCACTGACCTCGAGGAGCTTACAATCAAACGAGAGAAGACAATACACAAAAAAAAGACAGAGGGATGGGGGGGCCTCCCGAGGGTAAGGGGTGCCACAATGATGCTGGAGTCAAAACCAAGCAGAATAACTGGCGCCACACAAAGAGATGGCTGGGATTCTGAATCCTCTACAATGGGAGGCTACGGCAGGAGTTTTTTTGTTCCATCCTGCATGCTTCCAATCAAAGGGGCAGCAGCAACTGAGCATACTAATGAGGGTGTGAGTTCCGAAGCTCAAGCAATCTGCATGATGAGGAGTGAAACACGTGCCCAGTCAAAGTTCAAAGAACTATTTAGGGCTGTTCAAAATCAAAAGCAGTTAACAATACACTTTGAAAAGAGCCATAGAATAAACAATGCAAGTTTAAGTTTTTCTATAATTTGAGTTAAACAGAACCAACTGAACCTGATCAGACAGGACCTAGTTTTCCTGTTTCAGGTTCTTCTAGTCAGAGTTCTCAAAGCTTGTATACTTCAGAAATGTTATTGAGTCCACTGTTTTGTGGGTTTTTCTGCTCAGTTTACTCATGTAATTTGGTATTTCTATTACTATAGCCCCTATTCAAAGTATGCTAATAGCTTAGTTTTCTGAGACCAGCCTTATGGCAACCCCAACCAACTAGAATGATTCCAAATTCAGAAAGAAGGGGAAGAAAGTGGCAGAGAAAGAACCTTTCCAAAGTGATTAGCAATGATAAGGATAAAAAAGATAAATGATAAAACCAATAGGCTGTAATTTGGTGGCTCACTGGGACATGGGAACTAGAGGCTTTCTGTGATCAATATGGAAGATTTCTAGCATTCCACAGCAATTCAAATAAAAGGACAGTCAGCCTCAGGAAAGTGGCAAGACAGATAACAGCCAGATTCTCCAGCAGATAGGTACATCAGATTCTGACAACAGGTATCAGGTGGAAGTAAATGTAAGCAATGGGAAACTAGGCAAACATAGCAGCCATAGCAGCAATCTGGCCAGGGGACTGAGAATCTATGGGCAGGGTCCTCATGGAAACTGAGGGAGGGGGAGAAACACTAGAATACAGTACTGGAGAGCAAGACATAGTGAACTAGGTAAGGGGGCAGGTCATAACAAACAATACAAGAATCTAGTTACTGGAACTGAAGTACAAAATAAAACCAGAACCATTAGTAAGTCTGACTTGATGCGGAGACACAATGCTGACTATAGCCACTCATCCTTGTGACTACTGCTAATGGCTGTTGTTCACTAGTTTCATGACTTGTCTTCTAAATGAGAATGGATCGACTAAAAACGGGATTCCTAATATTCTCTGATAACATCTTCAGTGTTGCAGCTTTTACTGTAGTAAGTAGCCGGATAATTGGCCTAGCAATTAGAGACTATGTTTAGCATCAAAACATCTCAAATGGCTCTACCAAAATACCTCATGTTTCTCTACGAGTCCTAGAAAACATAAATGATGTCACAGAGTGAGTTAATGCTAGAGAGAAGAATAGACTCACGCTCTACTTAGTTTCCACTTACAAAAATATACATACTTCAAAATTACAAGTACAATTCTAACTAAACCGATTATTGCTTTCAAAAGAATAAACATCTTTTCGTTGCAGAGGGATTGTTTGATAAGCCTATATTCATTCTGATACTTTAGTAATATGGTGAAGACGTAGAGTAGCAGTAATTTCACAGGTTACAGGATAGTGAGTTCTCTCCAAAGGACTAAGTCACTAAGTCTTCCTAAGAGTTAACCACAATCTTGGTTTGTGAATTTGGTTGGGATGGGTGAAATGCGAAGGTTCACTGTTCTTTTTCTTCTTCTTGAAAACAGACATGTAGATAGTATCAGCCAGAAAACCTGGTTTTTTCCTGGCTTTTCTTCCTTTTCTGGAATCTACTGGGACCCTTTCATACACTAGTATATTCCATTTCCAATGCAAGTGATATCTCCTCACCCATTATATCAAAGGTGGGGATGAGATAAGAATAAGCATTTTTTATATTGTTTACTTTGTGCCAGACACTGTGCTAAGAGGTTGGTTTTTTTTTTTTGGTGAGGCGATTGGGGTTAAGTGATTTGCCCAGGGTTACACAGCTAGTAAGTGTTAAGAGTCTGAGGCTGGACTTGAACTCAGGTCCTCCGGATTCCAAGGCTCTATTCACTGCGTCACCTAACTGTCCCTGCTAAGTGTTTTTTATAAATGTCATCTCATCTGATCCTTACAAAAACCCTGTGAAAGAGGTGTTATTATTGTCTCCATCTGACAGTTGAGGAAACTGAGGCAAACAGAGGTGAACTGACTCGCCTAGGATCATACAGCTAGTTAACTGTCTGAGGCCAGATTTAAACTCAGGTCTTCTTGACTCCGGGTCCAATGCTCTATCCACTGTGCTACCAGCTGCCTCCAAAGGTGGGAGGACCAAGCAGGCATGTCTACACCTCCCCATCCTGGCACTGCCCTGACGCGTGAAGCAACGGTGGGATATGAGTTTGGTACAACAATGTGAGAAGTCCCAAGGGGCAGCTTCTTGTAGGACCACTGTCCCCCATCCTGCCCTTTGCTCCCAAGAAAACCTCCAATTCTAGCTGAGTCTTTGTCCCCCAGTGACTGTCACCGGAACCTGTTTGGCTTACCCTTTCCAGATTCTGATTGTATCCCTCTGGCATCTCCAGTTAAGCAAAATAGCCTCACTGGTTAAATAAAGCAAATAAAGCCCTATAGTCGTGTATTACCAGTCAATTTGATTTGATCAAATGAGATAATATTTTGAAGTGCTTAGGACAGTGCCTGAATAGTCCACACTATATTGAATTCTGTTGTAAAGTCCCAGCAAAGGAAAATCTTAATGGTTTTGGACAGCTAATCTGGTACATTTTCCAGATCAAACAAAAAGAAAATATAAAGCCACTTACTTATGCCTTTAGCAATCATATCATGTTTTCCAATTTAAAAAGAATGTGAATATTTGATACTAAATTTGACCTATAACCTCAGAAACTTAGCGGCATTTTTAAAAACTGATGTTCAAATTGCCTTCCATAACAAAATATGAAAGCTCCAGAAAGCCACCCACAATATTAACCAAAGACTTTAGAGATATCACACAGCATAAAATACTCGACCTTCAGGTTTCTCAGGACTTTCTGGAACCTCTGAATCTTGAAGCAATGGAGTAGTCACAGATGACTCAGACGCCTCTGAAATTTTAGATGTTGGTGGAGATTTTTTTCCTGTATCTCCACGATGTTGTAACCACTCATCCTTATAACCATTGCTAATTAGTTTGGTGAAGTTCGTTGGTTCATTGTTTTTGTGACCCGGCCTCAAAAAAAGGAAGAAAAAGACATATCTAAGTATAAATATCAAATTAAAAAATAAATATTAAAATAAAGCTTTTTTCTTTGAACATAAAATAGCACTGGTTATAATAAAATTATGAAGACACTGAAAAACTACACTAGCTTGTACATCTACTGATTCTATTACTCTAGTGATAATACTAGATTTGATATGACTACAGGTGGCCTATAGACAGGAGTTTCACACTCCACCTAGCTAACTTTCTCTTATATCATTTGCCAATGTACTAGTTCTACCCAGTATAACTGGGCCAGGTGCTGGTGAAAACTGCCATATCAGGAAGTCTAGCAACTGACTTGGTCAGAGAATCTCTTCCTCAAAGGATGGAGTGGTGGGATGGACAGAGGATTTCCATAAACATAAGGGCTTACTCAGGGCTAACACCTCTAGATGATCTGCCATAAAATATTAATTGCCACAAAATCAAATGTAAGAAATCAGCAAAGTGTCAGGCAAGCACCAGGCAGTGTTTGGAGGCCTCTATACTCCTCTTGACCATGTGAAAATACATCAGAAAGGAAAAGAAGTCTGTACCATATATGTTCTGTTGCCGGCAGGTTGTTTTGCTTTCACTAGGACAGCAGAAGAATGCTGGCATTATAAAGACTGGTCTTTGTTTCAGGAAGAAGTCTGGAGTCATTAAAAGGAGCTTTGCCTATGATCACAGGGCCCGACTCCGTCATGGATAAGACTGGAACGAAAAACCTCCTGACTCCAAGTCTGGCCCTCTATTCATTATGCCCTACTGCTTCCTGGCAAACATGAAGCACATTAATTTTAAAAAGTAAGCTGAACAGCATAACATAACAACACAACAAAATGCCACCATGGGTCACATTCAACTTTGAGTCCTATACCCTTCCTCTAACGACAAAGCTACTAAGTATTGAGGAAAAGGCAAGATTGTTCCCCATGACAACAACCTCAAAAAGTCTGTGTGTGTTCATGTGTATATATTTATACGCACATGTCCACATACATGTAGGTATATATGCACATATTATATATACATGTATACATACATGTATATATTATGGCACGCATGTATATTACTGTATGTATGTGGCAACACACATATGCTCTATAAATGCTATTCGTATCTGTGTACTCAAAACTTCCTAATATAGCCCATTTGGTAACTCAAATGGATCTATGATTTCATTCAAACGCATGTTCCCTCAAGTGGTCAGATCACAAAACACTCCTAAAGTTACAGATGAATAAAAGGATGGTTCACAGGCTTCTACATGGAAAGACAGATAAAGGATTTGGCAGAAGTGATTTTATCATGCATCCAAGGTCAACAAGACATCATATTAAAAATAACAACCACTGAATAGCACATTACTGACTTCCTATCACCACAAAATCTTTACGAGAATAGTCTGCACATGCACTGAGGACATCATCCTTGATGAAGGCATGAGAAGAAAAAAGGAGGGCCGTTGCAAGATACAATCCAGAGAAGACTGCACCTTTATAGTTATATAACTAACCACAAGGTAGATAGAACACAAGATCCCACTCAGCTTACACTTGTTGAGAATTTATTTCCAACTTTAAGGCCTTCCTCCAACAAGTTATCTCTCGTTCATGAAGTAAAAACATGAGATTCCTTTAAAAAAATCTAAGGCTGTAAGTTTTATGACCTTCTGATTGTTATTATCAGGTGAAAAATTAAACATGGTGAAATACGATTGTGCCAAAATTATTTGACTACTGAAGATGTCTAACGTAGGGTTGGCATGAAAGAGGAATTCCCTATAATTAGTGAGGTTCTTCATATGTCCCTCTGTAGGAATTGTACTGACTGCATCAAGCCTGAGAACACTGTAGAGCCTCCTAAATAAGATCCTTACTCCCTCTAAAGAGTCTGACTACTCTTTCCACACAGGGGAAAACAAGTGGATGAAGAATGCCAATCAGCCAGATTATGACATGCAGGAGAACAGAATGGAGGTGGTCCATTAATACACATACGTGGGGGTAGAGACTAAAGAGATAATACAATGGGTCCAGATCTGAAGAGGAGAATGAGACCAGGCTGGATTACTTTAAGGAAGCTGCACAGTGCTTTTAGTGATACCAAGCTTCTCCATAAAAGTAAAGTCTATCTTTTTAACATCAACATTCCTTTGGTATTGCTGCGTGACTTAAAGTCATAAAGTATTAGTTTCTGAAGAATTAAAGTTGTGAATAACCAAAGAGCAACGGAAAGGTAAAAAGTGGGCGTGAATAGGCCACAGCAAGAGCTGCCAAGAAGAAGCTGAGTACACAAGATCCCTGGAGAAATCTAAGATGAGAAAAGTAGGTGGAGAACAGCTATGCACCCCACTGGATTCTAATACATCCGGCAACTGAGAGGAAGATTCCCAGGACACTGTGTAGACCTCATCTGAAGCAGGCATAAGAGAACACAGACAAGCCAAGCTGAACAAACTCTAAAGGTATGGCCAGTCTGAGACACGTGCTACTGCCATGAGGGCTCAGAGATCACAAAGCCATCAAAGTAGGTAAGCTGGAGATATTTCTCTTTATCACCACCCATCTGCCACCTGTTCCCTTGTCACATAACTTATAAAAATGGTTAAATAAGCATAGATTCCTAGGTATCATTAAGTAATTCTCTTTCCAGAAACGAGTTTAACTCAAGTTTAATTTGAGTTTCCCTTTATCTCCAGTCTTGAAGCCAATTCTCATCTATATGAAAACATTTCAGCAACCCATGGTAAGGTAAGTATGGATATTTTAGGATGATGATGATGATGATTATTATTTTGTTTTTAGGCAATTGGGGTTAAGTGACTTGCCCAAGGTCACACAGCTAGTAAGTGTCAAGTGTTTGGTCTGAGGCCAGATTTGAATTCAGGTACACTTGACTTCAGGGCTGGTGCTCTATCCACTTTGCCACCTAGTTGCCCCGGGTTTGTTTTTTTTTAAATAACTTTTTGGTATTGGAATTTGTCAATGGTCTTTTGAAAGTTTTAACAAATTAGGTCACAGATTCTCAGAATTGGAATGGATCTCAGAAGTCATTTAGTCCTCAGCATCCCCAACAAATGGTCCCTTGAAAACTTCCAGTGACAGGGAACTCAACTACCTTACAAAGCAACCCTTTATAGTTTGGGTTAGTTCTAATTGGTAGGAAGGTTTTACTGCTATCAAATAGAAATTGGCCTGTCTCCAATGTTAATTCAAAGCAATTAAAGATTTACTAAGCATTTTTTATGTACAAGGCATTTTCTTTATGCTAAGAATACAAAGACAAAAAATTCTACTCTAGTCCTACCCTCTGGACTTAACCAAAGACCTTTAAAAGCTTAAAGACAGCTATCACTTAATCCCTTCAATTATTTCTTCTCCAGACTAAAGATAACTAGCTCTTTCTAGAAATCCTTGTATAGCACAGTGGTCCCTTCACCACCCTGGCTGCTCTCTTCTGAACACATTTCAGTTTGTCTGCGTCCCTGCTAAAATGTGGTGCCCATGACTCCACATAATATTGAGATGTGTTAGACCAAAGCTATCACCTCCCTTGTTCTGGACACTCTTGTTCTATTACTACAACCTGAGATCACTATTCATTTTCTGACTATGTCTTAATTTGACTCTTACTCTCCTGGCATTACATTAACATTTCTCCCACAATCTTTCCTTTACATCCATAACTCCCATTCCCTGGTCCTTAAGGAGCTGATTTTCAGGACACATGTATAAGACTTCACATTTATCCCTATTAAGTTTCATCTTATACCTTTCGAAGAACTCAAATAGACTGGTAATACATTACCTTCCCTTTATAGAAATCATGTTTTCTTTCCCTAGTAAGTTATTTTTATTAATGAGTTTAATAGTTCCATAATTATTTAAAAATAAAATTATATAAGTGAATTATATAAGTGAATACGAGGAAAAGAGATAGTGTACAGATTCGAGACAGCAACTAGGAGCAATCTGAATCAAGTCTGGTGAGAACCGCTGGATCAGTCTGTCATTGGATAACAATTAGGTTGTCTAGAAAAGTGCAAGATAAATCGAAGCTACAATAGTTCTTAAATAGGTTATATTGTAATCACATTCTAGAGCACATATCTACAAAACACAAAGCAACAGACTACAAGTTTAAATACTGCAAACAAAGTACATGAGTGTGGAAGAGATTCATCATACAAGCAGACAGTGTGGTTGGACTAATGACAAAAAATTACAGAAAATGCATTTTCAGCTAGGTTTTGAAAGCAAGAGAAGTATAAAAATGAATGGAAATCAATCAACAAGCATGTAAGTGCTGATAATTCTATGCCAGGCACTCTGCGAGGAGAGCGGCAAGCATTTCAGTTGGGAATGGCACATAAAAATCCAGAAAGCAAAAACATTCAATGTCGAGAGACACGGTAAGAACAGTGTTGTTGAGAAGCAATTAATAATAACAGTTCTGTTTCATTACACGCAAATGGCTAAGGATAGAATCAAGACTCAAAAGTTTATTCAAAGAAAATTGACATTAATCTAATGACTTACACAGGAGGGAATGAAAACCTATTCCTTGCATTGTCTTTAGAACCAGCAGTAGATCCTGCTCTGCTTGCATACCTTGAGTTAATTGCTGGCAGTTTCACCTGTGTTAAGAGAAACACGTAGAACACTAATTTAGTAAAGACATTCAGAAACCACATACTGAGAAAAAAAAATACATAACAACAGTAAAAAGATGGAAATCTGTCTTATCTGCGATACAATACCTATAACACTACTGATGGTCACAATTACATACCATAAGAATATTCTTTGACAATAAAATCTCTTTAAAGAAAATCCCAAGGTACACCTCCAAAAGGGCAAATTCTGAATTAGAAGACATCAAGACACTATACTTTCAGCTCATTTTAACCTGTACGAGGACACAACACACTTCAGGCCATTTCAAATGAAGAATTTATGAATGATCATGAAAGGCAATGATGTATAATTTGTCTCTCTAGTACTCTAATTAATAAAGTGGATCAACAAGACTGGTTTGCCAAAGGTTGTTTTGCCTATCTATATTAGGAATAAGAAAGTTCTGTAGCCCTAAGTGCTATTGTTGGACCAAGTAATGTGTACGGCTAGAACAGGACAGCCAAAGGTATAAAAGAATCAGAAGGAAAAGAAAAAGAGATTTAAAAAATAATTAGAACTTTTATATGAGAGGGGAAAAAAAGGAGATATAGTAGCTAGCTCAATTTGTTGGCAGGGGAGAAGACTTGTTATTCATTCAAGTAATAATTAGTAACATCATTATTATAGGTCAACCCAATCTATATTTAATTAGAATAACTCAGAGTACTTTTTGAGTGAGTCACCCTTATTAATGAATAACGAGCATTTTAGATGCTAAACGTAGAACACATATAAGAATACCATCAGAGCAAATGGTTTTGTACAAATAAGGTTATATTCGACTTCTCTAGACTTTAGCATAGTGCTTTACACATAGTAAATACTCAATAAACGCTTTTTCATTCATCCTGGATGTTGCATACTAAAACTTTTTTAATGGTGTAGATAGAATTTTGTTGTACAAGATAAAAGAATAAACACCTTCATCAGCCCATCTAAGAAATATGTTCTACTAACAGTATTTTTATTGTAACTATATTTGTACAATGTTATTAGACATTGATTATTTGTACAATATTGAAATTTGACATGTTTTTCCAAAATGGTGCTTTTTTTTTGGTGAAAGGTGAAAATGAATGAAGAAGAGGATAAGTAAGCCTTCATCAACAGTTCTCTTTTCTATCTATTGATCTTGCTGGCTATTCCAGCTTCAGTCACTGATCTCCCCAGGCCTGGTAACACCTCATCAGAGCAAAGCCTGGTCCTGCTTTTTGGCTTAAACAGTCTTCTCCTCCCTAGTTGCTATGATACCCAGGAGTCAAATGTGCTACTACCAGACCTTCAACTGCAGACTGCCCTCAGTTATAGCAGGGTGATTTTGTGGGGGCTGGTGTAGCTCTAGTCAGAGAGGGAAAAGGAAAGGGGAATTCCAGGTGAGAACGACAGGGAATTTATGTGTATGCCATAGGCCCAGAGTAGTTGTTCTTAAAAGTAAGTCGGTAGTAGTTAGGAACAATCTATATCTTCTTTCTTCTATATGCTATTCATTTTCCTTCTATGTCCCTAGTCTGTGTCTAGTCTCCCCATTATAATGGGCAATGCCATTAAATTACCGTAAAATCAATGTATCATTAGGAATTGCTCCTCATAGTTAGTCAAATTGTCAAATCTCATTATGCTCATTAATATTTCCCCAAATTAAAAGCTGTCAGAATAGGTGTGGAAAAAAATAGGCATACTAAGCAGAAACTAGGCATAGAATAACATTTTACACCAAGATAAGGTCAAAAGGGGTACATGACTTAGACATACAGGGTCAAACTATAAGAAAATTAGGAAAGCAAGGAGTAGTTTACCTGTCAGATCTATGGAGAAGGGAAAAATTTATGGCCAAACAAGAGATAGAGAACATCATAAAATGCAAAATGGATAATTTTGATTACATTAAATAAAAAAGTTTTATGCAAACAAAGCCAACGCAACCAAGATTAGGAGGGAAGCAGAAAGCTGGCAAACAATTTTTACAGCCAGGGTCTCTGATAAAGGCCTCATTTCTAAGCTATATAGAGAACTGAGTCAAATCTATAATATAAGTCATTCTCCAATTGATAAATGGTCAAAGGATATAAAAAGGCATTTTCTTTTCTTTTTTTTTTAAATGAGTTTATTTTATTTTATTTTATTTTTGCTTTTAGGCAGTTGGGGTTAAGTGACTTGCCCAGGGTCACACAGCTAGTGTCAAGTGTTTGATCTGAGGCCGCATTTGAACTCAGGTCCTCCTGACTTCAGGGCCGGTGCTTTATCCACTGCGCCACCTAGCTGCCCCTAAAAAGGCATTTTCACATGAAGAAATTAAAGCTAACTATAGTCAATGGAAAGATGCTCTAAATCACTATTAGAGAACTGCAAATCAAAACAACTCTGAGGTACCACATCAACCTATCACATTGCCTAACATGACAAAAGAGGAAAATGATAAATGTTAGAGAAGATGTGGAAAAACTGGAACGCTAATGCATTACTTGGTGGAGCTGTGAACTGATCCAACCACTCTGGAAAGCAATCTGAAACTATGTCCAAAGGACTATAAAACTGTACATACCCTTTGATCTAGCAATACCACTACTAGGTCTGTATCCCAAAGAGATCATAAAAATGGGGAAAAAACCCACATGTACAAAAATATTGATAGTAGCTCTTTTTGTGGTGGCAAAGAATTGGAAATTGAGGGGATGCCCATCCATTGGGGAATGGCTGAGCAAAATGTGGTATATAAATGTAAAGAAATAACACTCTTGTTCCATAAGAAATGGTGAGAAGGTGCATTTCAGAAAAACCTGGAAAGACTTGCATGAACTGATGCTGAGTGAAGTGAGCAGAACCAGAACACTGTACATAGTTAACAGCAACATTACACAATGACTTTCTTTGTTAGACTTAGCTCTTCTGAGCAATACAATGATCCAAGACAATTCCAAAAGCCTCATGATGGTAAATGTTATTCACATCAAGAGAAAAGAACTATGGAGTCTCAATGCAGATTGAAGCATACTTTTTTTTCTTTCTTGTGGTTTTCCCCTTTTGTTCTGCTTCTTCTTTCACAACATGACTAATGTGGAAATGTGTTTAATAAGATCGTACATGTATAACCTACATCAGATTGCATGCTATCTTGGGGAGGGGGGATAATTTAGAACTCAAAATCTTATAAAAGTGAATGCTGAAAACTAAACATAAATAAATAATTTCTGAAATAAGCACACTAATGTATTGTTGTTTTCTGGGGCTAGGCAATGGGGTTAAGTGACTTCCCCAAGGTCACACAGCTAGAAAAGTGTCAAGTACCTAAAGCCAAATTTGAACTCAGGTCCTTCAGACTCTAAGGCCAGTGTTCTATCCACTTCGCCACCTAGCTGCCCCTATGTACTGCTGTTATAGAGAGGAATTGGTCCAACCATTCTGAAAAGCAATTTAGAATTATGAAAAGAAAATTAATAAAACAGCCATACTCTTTGATTGAAAGATTCCACTGCTAGGCATATAGGTCATGGGCAAGGACATCAATGACTAAAAGAAGTATCTCATATACACAAAAATATTTATAGCCACACTTTTTGTGGTAACAAAAAACTGGAAATAAAGAATATGCCCATCAATTGGAGCATGGCTAAGCAAATTGTAGTACGTACATGCAATGGAGTGTAACTGCGTTTTAAGAAATGATGAACAGATAGAAGCAAAAATTGTTTCCAAATAAACAGAAAGAGGAAAACAAATTACACGATGACTACATCAATGTAAATGGAAAGAACAACAAAACAACTGAAACTGAATTCTCTGAAGTTATATTGGACACTCAAGGTCCCAAGGAAGAGATATGAGAAGACACCTCCTCATGGTTCTTTGTAGAACGGACCACAGGTGTGAAATACTTATATAACATTAGATATTTTTTCGATGAATTGGTTTTCCTAAATTTTTTTCTTTCCTTTTTACAATTTTTCCCCCCTAAAACTATAAGAAATGAGTACAGAGGAGGAATTCTATGGGAAAATGTAGGTGATATAAAAACAAAGTATCAACATTTTTTAAAAATGTATTAAAACATTTTCTCCAAATTTCCCTCTTTATTCTTTTAACCATTGCCATATTCCAGACACTAGACATATCAACTAGATTTCTATAGCCAGCTATTTTCTGGCCTCTTGACTCCTAGTACAATCTGTGTTTACTAGACTCTAAAAACTACTGCAATTTTTAAATTTCATAAATTTTATATGCCAACCTTGCCAACTCTTTCCTCTTGAAGATTTTTCAATTTCCTAAGTAAAAGAAGTAAGATCCCTATTGCTGTTAAAAGTCTTATATGAGACTCACCTTATCACAGAATTTCCTCTTTTTCCCTTGCCTGAACATCTGGTTCCCTTGAGGCACATTTCAGTACTTTACTAATCATCCTCCCCTTGTCACAAAGACTCCTTCCATGATTTGCTTCCTGCCTCAAATATTCATCTAGTACCAGATAATCAAATTCTTACCCTTCAACCACTTGAGAAATTCCTTAAATAACAGTTTTTCATAAAGCTTTCTCTAATTAGAAAAGAAATGGAGACTTCCCACAGTTCTAAGCCCCTAATATCTTTATCATTCACTACTCTAAGGACACTCATCTCACACATAATGTACATTTATTTCTATACATTTATTAAATCTCTCTGTACATACATCTTTATACATTTATTAAATGCTCATTAATTGTTGCATCTTCAATGTCTTTGATTCTGTTTCCTATCTAATTTTAGCTTGCTCTATATGAGCCAGGGCCAATGTCTTTTTTACTTACCTTTTTATTGCACCTAGAACCAAAGTATAAGATAGGTACATCACAAATGCATCTCATGCTATTGCTAATAATTACAATTGTCTTTACAATTTCTCTAATGATGATATCATCTTCATATATCCAAGCTCAGTCCAATGGAACTGTCTAGTTCTTTGTCAATTCAGCATATTGTGACAACATGATATAAGAATTTTACTTTTTGAGTGATTATTTCCTACGGAAGGTCAGTCACTCCAGTCTGAATAAAATTTCGTTATTTGTCAACTGGAGAGAGTATCTTCTTCATTCTATTTTCCATCATATTTTATGTGCTGAAGGGAAAAGATGGATTTGTTATATAAACCACTTTCCACTGAAGGCCTCCTTTAATGTCTCATCATGGCAAGGAAGGGAATCTTCGTTCTTGAGAACCATGCCAGCGGACCTAAACTGTGGAAGAGTCTACCAGCTGGAAAGGCTTTGAGGTATACAGTCCCAATGACAGCACAAATCCTATAAATTCTACTAGTTAAAAAAAGACTTGGATTAATAAGCCTTTCCTGCAAAATATTCAAGTGAGTTAATCCTCAGTTACATTTTAGCTTAAATTAATTTAAGGGGGCTTTTAATTAATGGCCAAATGAAAGGCAAAAATTTGGAGCTAAGGGTTGCCTTATTCTCCAGCTATCTTGTTATCAACAGGATTTAACATCTTTAGGAACTAACCTTTGTAAATGATGAAGATCTATTACATTAAGAGCTGCAAGAGAAATTTTTTCCCCCTTTTTATCATTTTTTTTGTGCTAAATGGATAAATTCAAACATTATATCACTTTGTCCTCCCTAGATCAAGCTTTGGTTAGTTGAAAGTATTATAAAAATAGATGCATTTTGGGTGGAGCAAAGGAACTTACTTGCCTCAAGAAAGCAAGCTTTAGAAGAAATTTTAAAGAGGCACATGATTATGAGTTTGAAATTCACCAAAATACTTAAACTTCAGTAAAATATACAATCTGCATTCCGGTAGAAAGTGAAATTCTTGCAGGCAAAGAGGGACTGTCTTCTTTTTGGGCCCTGCATCTCCAGTAAGGAGCACAGTTGGGAGCACATAGTGGATACTTCTACATGTTTGTTGAATCAACATGGAATATTAAAAAATCAAATAACATTGAAGCGATATTTGAAGCTCCTAACATAGTTTCTGAAGCGCACAGTAACAACAAAATCCCAGCTCAAGACGGAGTCACCTTTTTTTTCTCCTTTTCATGCTCCTCAGCTTCCCTCTGCCAAACTGTTTTCATGTCAAAATCAAAAGGCCCCCTTTTGGATTCATAGTTACCATTGGCCTGATCAGGGTTAAACTCTTCATAAACCATATACTCTGGCATGGAAGATACATGTATTCTGCAGAGAGAAGAAAGGATTTAATAATTTCAAATAAAAGTTCAAAAATGATGTTTTCTCTCTATGAATGCCTCCCCTCTTATCCTTTTCTCCTTTCCCGCCTCCAGTCCAGCACCTGAAGTCCACTCTTCCCTTCCTTGTCTTGTGCAAATTGTGGTCTATCTTCTTTCCATCACCTAGTCTTTGGATATGGGATGACCCTCCAGAAGATAAAACAAAGTGTGCCACTTTAAGGAAAACTGATAATGAAAATTAGAACTACCTTGGGCAGGAGGGACTTAGCGCGTGGGTAGAATGCTCAAGAACACCAAAAGGACTTGGCAAACAACACGTATAAATAAAGGACCTATATCAAGTTTGAGAATATCTTGGATTTACATAATACCCTTTTCACTAAGGCACCCAGTAACTTTAATATAGGCTATCATTTATTTCAAGAAATATAAGCTAGGTATATAAAGGCATCATTCTAGAAACAGAGACTATGAAGCACTGAGTTAATTACTAAGGGTTATATAACTCTTCAGTGGCACAATGCTAGAACACATGGAAGCTCCTGAACTTCAGGGCTGTATTTTGATCAGTTCTGCTGCATCTCGGCAATAACTTCTTCCTTACAAAATATTTCAGAATCATATTTAATTTGACAGTCGTGGTGAATGCACTGGCTTATTTTGCCTTTCAATTAAAATGTGGTTAAAGAAAACTTTTTTCTCCCTCATGTGGGTAAGCAAAAATTTAAGATGAATTCAAGCACACTTACTCTTTCTGTTCAGCAGTTGGTGGTTTACTGTGATGAGTATACCATTCAGGCATAGAATATGCAACAGGAGAGCCTTTTCTTGAACCAGTGGCATAATGTTTCAATAAATCTTAAGTTAAAGATTAAGACATGATTTAAGTTTCTTCATTGCCAAGGGGCAGCTATTATAAACATATCTGGCTACCAGGTATGGCTATAACCATTGAAAACGAAACTGAAATTAATGGTTGTTCTTTTACGGTTGTTTATCATTAAAACGTTCTGTAGATAACACTGACTCCTACTATGTTTCTGAAGACATAAGACTTTGAATAGGCAAAGGTCAAATTTTAGAGATAAAATTCATCTGTTTTTCTAAAATACAGCTATAGCCTTTTAACAAATGTTAGCAAATAGGCTATTACTTAATTTCCAACATAAACACACAGCTAGTTTCCAAAATATTTACACAAAAAGCAGACTGAGTTATTATATTTTTTTCTCTTGATATTTACATTCAGAACTGATTGTTCTAACATCTTAACTGGATAATTACATTTTAAGTAAACAAGAATATATCAGAGTTGATTAAAATTGGCCAGCTTTTAAAACTCATTTACCTATTTTACCTCAACAAAGGCCCACTCCCCTAATGAATAAACTCCAGTCATTCTTTATCACCTCTTGGATCAAACAAGATGACAGATTTAGAGCTGGAAGTGACTTTAGAAGCCAGCCCTTTATTTTGCAGATGAGGAAACTTAGGTGAAAGGGGTTGCGATTTGCCCGAGGTTACACAGCCAAGAAAATGTCTGGGGCAGAATCTGAAACCACTCTGTCATTTAAAAGCCTGACTCCAACCTATCTTTCCAGAATTATTATATACTGTCTGCCCCACTGCTCAGCAAAGTACTCTATGATTCAACCAAATGGGCCTCCTGACTGTTCCTTTGCACAGTGTTCATTTCTTGGTACCCTTTGCAAGGGCTGCCCCTCAAGCCTGGAATGCACTTGCTCTTCACCTTGACCTCTGAGAATTCCTAGTCCTTTTCAAACCAGCTCAACCACTACTCCCCTATATAAAGCCTTTCCTGGGGCTCCCAGCTGCTATTCTCTACAACCAAATTATCATAAATATCTTTTGCATGTTTGGGGGTACGTGTTGGCTGCCTCGGGGGGAGGCCTTGAGGGCAGGAGGGGCTTCATTTTTGCCTTTATATCACCAGCAAGTGGAACAGTGGCAGGCACATAGCAGGTGGGCAAAAAGTTCTTGTTGACTGACCAACAAGGCCTGAAGGTAGTTGCTTCATAACTAAATACAGCATTTGGGAGTGGTATTCAGAGTTTCCCTGAAACAAAGCCCATTTCCTAACAGCAGAAACAAGTGATACTATTCTGGACTGAATACAAGTATGCAAAGATGTACATTTAGGACGGCCAAGAGAAAACTTAAAAGTTGTACACTGTTCTCTGTAAGGTGAAGAATGAATTAAAAGCGATTAGAGGCTATCTGTATTTTCAGTGAAGAGCCAACACTCAGTACCACATGTAATTAATGATGAAGCAACTTCAAGACAACCGTTAGCATTTACACAGCGCTGTACAGTTATCCCATTTGATCCTCATAAAACACAGGTAAGGTATGTGCTACTATTATCCTCATTTTATAGATGAGGACACTGAGGCAGATAAATATTAAATGACTTGCCCAGGTCACACAGCTGATATAATAATATCTGAGGCAGAATTTGGATTTAGGGCTTCCTTCCTGACAAGAGGACCAACACTGTATCCACTATGCCACCTAGGGGCCAGTTCCAAGAAACCTCAAAAATGCTCACATCTTTTAACAGCCACATCATGTTCAGAGCAATTCAGATTACTCCAAATTTGAAAAAGTTAAATCAAAAGCTGGGAAGATTTAAAAGAAAAGCTGGTGAAAACCTTTATATACAAAAGTGAAAATAGTTAATAGCAAATGCTTTTATTTCAAAGAACTTAAGAGTAAATATCAGGCCATTTAAAGTTGGTGAGAAAGCAGGGTTCAAATTACTTTACATGTAATTAATTTTCCTTGAAAACATCTCACAAAATAATCCTTGAATGAAAATGCAAAGAAATAAAAAATACTAACACAATGCTCCCCAAAAAAGATTTCAGAGCCCTTTGAGTCAGATATGTCTAGTTATAAAACAGTATGATAACCTTTAGTCTTTGGCTAAATCAAGCATATGTAGGTTTCATATTTGTTACGTAGTATTCACCCCTCAAACAGCACTGAATAGCTGGTATCTTGCCTAATTACTAACATGTACAGTCCAAAAAAAAATGAGGAAAATAATACGAAAGCAAAACATTATTGGATTCAAATTTCAGCTCTGACAGTTATCACCTGTGTGACTTTAGGGACGTTACTTCAACTCTCTGGGATTTGGTTTACTCATCTGCATAACTTACATGGTTCCCTGTAGCTGTAAATATATGATCCTGTTAAAACTGCTTACAAATTGGAGGGCTTGATGATGGTAGTATTGGTGAAGTTTATAAAAGTCCAGAAACATTTTGGCAGTTCAAGCAGATCATTCTTATGAAGTTCACCAAGTCATAATCAGAAGTAGAAATTACTGCAAACTTTACTATAATGGCTAGGAAATTGGTTGGGAAAAAAAAAAGAAGCAAACTTCCAAATTTTAAAAAGAAGTTTAACATTGTTTATTCAAATAGTTCACTTCAAGTAATGAGTTAATTTTTTTGATAAAGATTTATTAATTTTGCTTCTCTGAAGAAATAAAACTCATCTGCACCAACTATATACAAATTATATGCCAACAAAACTGAGAATCTAAAAGAAATGCTACAAAAATATAAAATTCTCTTGGGCTGCTAGGTGGTACAGTGGACAGAGCACCAGCCCTGACATCAGGAGGACCTGAGTTCAAATACAACCTCAGATCAAACACTTGACACTTACTGGCTGTATGACCCTGGGCAAGTCATACTTAACCTGAATTGCCTTAAAAAATTTTTTTCAAATTAACAGCAAATAAAACAGAGATCTTAAAGTTCAGAAAAATATCAAACTTGCTATAAAGAACTAGAAAAGGAAAAAACCAACACCAAACAAACCCTAGTCCAGATGGATTTATATTTGACTTGTAATAAACTTTTAAAGAATAAAATTCTTTATCAAAACTCCTTTTGTGAACCAAATGTAGTCTCATTGTATTTTTATTTTTTCATTATTTCCCAATTACAGTTTGTTTATTTTTTAAGGCAGGTGGGATTAAGCGACTTGCCCATGGTAACACAGCTAGTGTCTGAGACCAGTTTGAATTCAAGACTCCAGGGCTGGTGCTCTATCCACTGCACCACCTAGCTGCCCCCAAATGTAGTCAATACTTAAACTAAGCAGACAAAAGGACATCTTAAAGTTAAAAACATAAAAAACTGAAATGTCAAAAATCTTTCCTTCCAAACCCTCCTTCTTTTAACTTTGCTATGACTGGGGGATCACTATCCTCCCAGCAACTCATTCTCAAAACCTAGGTGTCATCTTTGACCCCTCACTTTCTCACCCCACCCCCCATATCTAATCAGCTGTCGAGTTCTATCATTACCACTATATATACGTATATGTGTGCATATATATATATGTGTGTGTATATGTGTCCGTGTGTACACACACACACATCTCTCTTCCCTCCTCTGAAACCCTGTACCCCAATGCAGGTTCTCTTCACTTCACACCAAGACTATTATAATAGCCTGCTGGCTGGTCTCCCTGTCACAAGTCTCTCCCACTCCAGTCTGTGCTCCATTCAGAAATCAAAGTAATCTTCCTGACTATGTCACACATCCCCCTTCCCCCCCAATTCAATAAACTCCACCGGCTCCCCGAACAGGCCGCGGTACATGATTGTAATGGAGTATTATTGTGCTATAAGAAACGATAAGCGGGATGATTTCACAAAAACCTCAAAGACTTAAATGAAGAGATGCAAAATTAAGGGAACAGAACAAGGATAACATTGTACACAGTAATAGCAACACTGTTCAATGAAGAACTGTGAATGCCTTAGCTCTTCTCAGCAATACAAAGATCCAAAACGATCCTAGAAGACCAATGATGAAGCACACTATCTGCCTCCAGAGAAAGAAATGATATTGTTCGAATAAAGACTGAAGCGTGTTGTTTCTTACTTTCTTTCATTATTTTTTATTGGAGTCTTCTTGTACAAAATGACTTATATGGAAATGCTTTACGTAACTGCACATGTATAACCTATATCTGATTGCTTACCATCTCAGGGAGGTGGGAGGGAAGGGAGGGACAGAATTTGGAACTCAAAACTTTAAATAAAAATGTTAAAAAATTTAAAAAAAAATTAGTCCTAGGGAATTGCCTGGGGAACATATAAGGTCACACATCTAGTGTCAGAAGTGAAATTTGAACCCAGGTCTTTTAGACTGTTATCTATGCCATGATATCCCATCAAAAAAGATACTAAACTTAAATTGGTTCTCAAGACAAATCAGCATGGTTCTGAGAGCATCCATGATGCTCTGTACCACCTCCCAAAGACACAAAATAAAACTTTTTAACAGATGCAAACTTTTATATTAAAGAAATTAACTAAAAACAAAATTTCCCCCTTTGTTAAGCCTCCTTATCACAATTTATAAAAAATAACATCTCTAAAGAGAAATAAAATTAAAGCATATGAACTTATTCACCAGGTCTGCCGCCTTGTTTCGCAAGTTTGACATATTCTGAGTCAGTGTCTTTTATCCAATTTCTTCGGGAGCCAAATGTAATCTCATTATGTGGCTCTGCAAGTTCACTCAGGCCTGGAATCTGGGATGTTGGAGGAAGGGCAATTTCTGAGGACTTCTCAGATCTTTTCAATGGAAGATGGTAATACCAATCTAGAAATAAAATACTGAAATTAGACTTAAATGTAATTAGTTGTGTCTACTAATTAGTTTCATATTTGTTTATACAACATACTAGATGGTCTCCAGAGAGGACATCTGATAGGTGCTAACCTCAAATGAGATAGATTGCTTTATCTTTCTTACATACTTATTCTTGTTCTAATTTATACAATGGCTTGTGAATACCTATTTTATTCACCACATTAGAGAAAGGAAGTATCATCTTTCGTTTTATATTCATAGCACCTGGCATAATCCCCTGCAAACAGTAGATTTAATGTTTGTTTGCCTGAGTTAAAAAAAACAAAAGAAATGAAAAGCTACAAAGCAGATCTGTAGAACTACTAGTTCTAATTTTTCTAAAACCTAGTATGATGTTGACTGTGATACTTAAATAAATTATATCCAATTAAAAAGCTTCAAGTACCTCCCTTCTCCCAACTCATTTTTTACCATGTGAATTTTAAGTTTCTTTAAAAATTATTATTTTGGGGGCAGCTAAGTGGCACAGTGGATAGAGTTTCAGCCTTGAAGTCAGGAGGACCTGAGTTCAAATCTCACTCAGACACTTGATACTTACTAGCTGTGTGACCCTGGGCAAGTCACTTAATCCTGACTGCCTCACCGAAAAAAAAAATTTCTATCTATATAATTTTGATTCCTCCAGGCAGACACATTGTCAAATTGTTCTATGCTTCATTATTCTCTTCTATAAAAGTAAGAATATAAATGAACCACAAGTTATATATAGGATACATCCTTAAAAACATTATCTTATCTTATAATAGCATATAACTAAAAGCATTATGATGCTCTTCAAGGTTTCTTTCACTTACTTAATATGTACTTACACCCAGAGAAGATCTGGGTCTATAGGTCATCTGAGATTTGAAAAACTTCTATTTTAAGGACATTTAAATAGAAAATACTAGAACAGAATTAATAGCCTAAATATCTCTTCCTAATCCTCTACAAGTACCTTATAGTTTTAGCCAAAATGGCACTGTATGCTGTTCATACAAGATGTCCCTAAATTTTCTGCCTTTTTTTTTTAAAGGCAGCTGGGTTTAAGGTCCTCCTGACTTCAGGGCCGGTGCTCTATTCACCCAGCCACTTAGCTGCCCCAATTTTTTGCCTTTTCTCAGGCTATTTCCTGACCAGAATATCCTCCCCTTAACATTTCTACCTTCTGAAATCCTACTAACTGTTCAAGACCAAGATCAAATGGACAAACCACCTTTTGCTCTCTAGGCCTCAGTTTTCTAATTTGTAAAATGAGGAAAAGCAAAAAAGTTATCTAAATTCTGTTCCTGGGAGCAACTAGGTGGCACAGTGGTCAGATCCAGCCTTAGATGTATCCTAGCTGTGTGAGCCTGGGCAAGTCTCACCTCCGTTTGCCTTAGTTTCCTCACCTGTAAAATAGGGATAATAAAAGCACCTATCTCCCAGGGTTTTTGTGAGGACCAAATGAGACAATAATTGTAAAAACTCGTAGCACAGTGACTGGCACGTAATAGACACTGTATAAATGTTAGCTTTTATTATTATTGACTATAATTATTTTGGATGTATTTATTTTCTCTCTCATTAGAATGTAAGCTCCCTGTAAATGGCGATTGTTGTCCTCTGTGCATCTATCCCCAGTGCCTAGCAGAGTGTTTGGCTCATTGTAGGTACATAACAAATACTTATTAACTGAATTACTTTAATTCAACAGGTTAAAACTCAGAGATCTGCAAAGAAATGGTAGGTGAGGCTGAGGGACGCTCTCATTCTTTTTCTTTGGGTTGGAGTGTGGTAATTGGAGGGATTAGAGGGGATAGGGAAAGAGGGAAGGAAGGGCAAAGAGATTAAAGTTAAGAATTAAAATGAAGGTAATTTCTGACTTGCAGTATGTGTTGGGAGACACAACAAACTGTTGGTTTTTCATAAGGAAACTTAAGGGGAAAGTGAGTTTTCTACAAGTTATTTACTGTATTTGGAGAACTGTCACAATATACTTGTTTTGTTTGAACCCAGAGGCTAGAACTAAAAATAATAGGTAGAAATTATAAAGAAGAAAATGTAATTTTCTTGTGTAAAGAGAAGGCTCCTAACAATTAAAGGTCTTCAAAATCGTACTGGGCTGCCTTAAGAGATATCGTCCTCACTGGAGGTCTTCAAGCAAAAGCTGGAAGATCACTTGCTGAGCATATTGTTGTAAGCTAGAGAGTAGAGAATGTTTCTTTTTTTCTTTTCTTTCTTTCTTTTTTTTTTTGTATTTATCCCCTCCAGAACCTAGGACACACTTGTCACATAAGTGCTTAATCAATCAATAAAAACTTATTCTACCTTGATTGATAATTGATCAAAAGAGGACAGAAAGTTTCCATTTATCTTCTCCTTAGAGAAGAGCATTTTATTTCAGTGGTTAACTTTCACTTTCAAACCTGACGATGCGCGTGTCACAAACATTTAAGACAAGAATAATGTAGTTTGGAGGGAAGAACCTAACTAGTCAAGAAGGATTTTTCTGGTGAGATGAGAAACTTATTCCTAAAGAGATAATTCCAGAAGAGATCAATAAAACCAATTTCAGAAAGTTCAAGCCTTCTCCTTCTTCCTCCCAATTTATATGATTCTTAAAAACAAAAGAAGAAATCAATTTCAAGTGTAGAAAACAGCTAGCTCATGAACACCATACTAATCAGACCTGGAGCAAGGATTTCATTAGAGGCAGCTTTACTTTGTTTCACTTTGAACCTGTTATAAGTCCTATTGACCACAAAGGGCACTAGAAGAGTGTGGTTGAGATGATACATAAGATAATGTAATGTGTTTACTAATTACATGTACTTAGTCATACATACAATGATATATTTAGTAACTATTAAAGCTTAAAAGTGCAAAAGCTTTTGGGACAACCTCTTTAAATCATTCACCCCTATCACCAAACACAGTAAGTAATCTATCCTTTACCCATGTGCTACATGTTCTTTATTAATTTAAGAAACATTTATTAAGCACAAGTTCTTAAGCTACTTAATCGAATTTTACACAACCATAGCACCTAGGGTCTTGAAAAGGGAAATCAACAAATTTTTGTACGATATTTTAAAAACTGAAGTCATCTAAAATTACAGTAGGCTACTAAAAGTTGCTTGTTGGGTCAAAGATTTCTTAGATTTTTTTCAGAGAAACCATAGCTCTGGAGCTGGACGGATCCTTACACATTACGAAGCCTACCCCTCATTTTACAATCGAGGAATTTAAGGCAAGAGAAGTTAAGTGCATTGTCCAAGGACATGCAAGGTCTCACAGCACTAGGATTAAGGTGGCACTGTGTCCTGATGCATGTCTCTTCACACAGGGAAAGTCACGTTTTTTTCTATTTTACGGACACGGCCCAGAGACATTAAAAGACCTTCCAAAGGTGAGGCAAGGTCTAGGTGGCGCTAGAATCCAAGTGTCCTGAATCCTGGTTCAGTGTTCTTTGCACTCAACTGTAATCACTCATACATTTTCTGTCTTCTACCATTATAACAGTATCATTTGTAACACTTATAAAATAAGAACTTAATGAGGAATGGAAAATATTTCATTTTCTTTCTAATTTAATAATTCAATAAATATGTGTTGAATAACTACTATGTGAAAGTTATTCTGCTGGGTCTTTTTAGGAAATAAAGACAAAGAGGATATATACAACCTTCCAGGAATTTGTAGTAGTGAGATAAGACAAGTTCATACATAAAAAACTGTAATACAAGGCAGAAAATGATAACCACCAAAAGAGGGACACAAAGTGCTATGGGGAAGAGGGAGGAAGGGAGAAATTACATTCTTGCCTTTTTTTTTTTTAAAGATGGAGTACGGGGTGGATACACACAGATAAGTTGATGGTACTGAAGGTAAGCCTTCAAAGACGACTAAGATTTTAGCAGACAAAAATGCCAGAGGAGGATACTCCCAGTATGGTATGAACAAAGTCGTGAAAGTCAGAAGATACTGGCCGCTACAGGATGAGAAGGGAGAGTGTGTTAGTGAGTAGTGTAGCTTGGCTTTAACACAGGGTAGGATTAGGGTACAACTGAGAGACAAGCCTCAGAAAGGCAGTTTGGAGTCAGGGCATAAAGGCTATGGCTAAGAATTCCAGGCTAGGGAATTCTGATTTTATCTAGCAGAGATGAGAAACTCAAAGAATTCTGAAATTAACAATATCAGAGTTTTTATTCAGCACCATGAGTTTGCCACAAGGCACATGGAAGCTAGCATAGCACAGTGGATAGAACTTCTTTCACGGTCAGGAAGATCTGAATTGAGTTCCACTTCTGATATATATTGGTTATGTGACCTTGGGCAAATTACTTTACCTCTTGAGAATACAGAAACAAAGAGCAGGTGCCAATCTGAATTAGTAGTGAGAATTTCATCACTGGGTGTTTCCTATACTAACTGGTTAGGAAAAATTCTGATATATTTGGTTATTTTTAAAAAAGAATCTGCTATTTTTCTGAAGCTGCTCTCCCTCCCCCTTCTAGACAGAAAAGACATATTGCATCAAAGAGAAACTAGAGGATCTTACAGTAATCTAGGGCTACTGGTGGCAATACAGTCTACCATCAGCCTGTGAGTCAGATGATATGAGTTCCAGGGACAGCCTCTCTTTGACTAACTGGATAAATCACCTACTTTGTCTGGGCCTCAATTTTTTCATTCATAAAGTGAGTCTGACTTTAGCTCTCTTTCAGGTTTGACTGTGTGAAATACCAAGGGCCTGAACTGGTATAATGCCAAGACATAGGAAAATAAGGGATAGACAGATACAAGACAGCCAAAGAAAACTGTTCCACCAAAGGGCTACAAAAATGTGCATGCCCTTTGATCCAGCAATAGCACTTCTAGGGCTCTATCCCAAAGAGATCAAACAAATGGGAAAAGGATCCACATGTACAAAAATATTCATAGCAGCTCTTTTTGTGGTGGCAAAGAATTGGAAATTGAGAGGATGCCCATCAATTGGGGAATGGCTGAGCAAGTTGTGGTATGTGAATGTAATGGAATACTATTGTGCTATAAGAAATGAGGAACAGGCTGACTTCAGAAAAACCTGGAAAGACCCATATGGTCGGATGCTGAATGAAGTGAGCAGAACCAAGAGGACTTTGTGCACAACAACAGCCATGTTATGCAATGACTAAGATTGTTAAACTGAACCCTTCTGAGCATTACGAGGATCTAAGACATCTCCAGAGGCCTTGGGATAGAAAATGCTGTCCACATCCAAAGAAAGAACTATGGAAGTCAAATCACTATCACCTTCTGTTGAGTTTTGTTTCATCTTTCTGATGGTTCCTCCTATTGGTTTTAATTTTTACTTACAACTTGACTAATGTGAAAATACGTTTAATGGGTATGTAAATGTAAAGCCTATATCAGATTCTGTGCCATCTTGGGGAGCGTGGAGGAGAGGAAGGGGGAGAAAACTTTTCAACTCAAAAGCATATGGAAGTGATTGCTGATAAATCAAAACAAATTAATTAAACAAAAAAAGAAAACTGTTCCAGAACGCGTTCTATCATTTCTCTATCACCTCTTCCTCCTTGTCCTCTTTCCTTTCCTACTTCCAGTCAGTCTTTCCCTTATTTTCTTCTCTTTCCTCTCTCTATTAGAAGTGAGAGTTGTAGTTAAAAGTTGAGGAAAAGAGTAAAGAAAACCATTTCACTTGTTCTCTCCCCCCTCCCAACTGTCCAACCCCATTAGAAATTACAGATACCAATCAACACAATTGTTAGAAGAATGGGAAATCATTAAATAAGTCCATGACTTCAACTGTTCTATGTGAGCGCAGGCAATTTCATTTACCTCCATGAAGTTTCGTTTCTCCATCTATAAAATGGAGATAATACCTAAGCTTGTACATCCATCACTTAGAACAGTGTCTATTACATAAAAGGTGCTCAAAAAATGCTTGTGGTATATAACAACTCACAAGGTTGTTAAAGTACTATATAACTGTCCATTATTCCAATAGTTTGAGCTACTCTGTGAGACTACTGGCCAATTAAACTTCTTTGGGGCTCAGTTTCCTCTGTAAAATGAGGATACTGCTACTTGTACTCCAAACTTTACAGAATAGTTGTGAGAAAAGCACTTTATAAATTGTAAAATTATACATAAATGTGAGCTATTCTCATATAAACATGGTATATAGCATATGAACAGAGGTGGAATAGAAATATATTAAATGATAGGAAGGCTGCACGGTATAACCAAGACTGTAGATACAAAAGCTGAGTTTACGCTATCTGTGTAGTAAGGACTACACAGGGTGGATTAATGTCTCTGGAACTCAGTTTTCTCAGCTGAAAAATGGGGAGGTTGCACTATATTATCTCTAAGGACCTTTCCAGCTCTAGAGGTATGATTCTCTTCGGAAAAAAAAAATCAAAGAAACTCGAACGATCTAGTAAACAACCTTTGATACACTACTGTACTTTGGGGTGACCTCGCTCTTCTTTTGTTAGAATAAGACAACTGTTTAAAATCTGTTGACATTCCTTTCTCATTTCTCATCTGTGTAACTACTGAGATAAAGAAAACGTCCCCAGCCTCTTTGAGAGGGTGATTTTTTTTTCTTTCTGAAAATGTGTGATAGCTACAATTTCTGAATGAAATAATTCTGAACTACAGTGGATTAGGTCGGGGAACTTGGGGTCCAATCTATAACTTTCTCTTTGGAAATTATTACAAAGACCAAATGGCCATACTTACCACAAGGGGCATAGCGACTGGTAGGTAGCGTAAGGTCCTTGCTAGTATTTCTCATTTTGGAGATCTGTAGGCATTGTTTTTTAAAAGAACACAATCAACACTTCATTCTTATAATTATCTTTTTAGAGGATAGTGTTATTTTACTAAGAGAATCAACAATGTATTGGGATAATTAGTTTACCAAGGTAAGCAAACGAGCACAATTCTTCTGACCGATGCATTAAAGGCTAGAAAAGGGTCCGGGTTCTCGCCCTGCCGCTCGCCTTCTTCAGTTCCCTGCTTCTCTCGGGTTCCACACAGGATGCAGTCCATGCAAGTCCGTGCAAATAAGCGCCCAACACATACTACGAAGAGCAAGTGAACTACAGAAAGGACAGCCCACCTCCGGGTGCTTGCCGATCTGGGGGGAGGGGAGGGGCGGTCCCTAAAACTCATTCCCTTGAATTGCTCTCCAGCCCCGCAAGCTCACCCCGCGCCCCTCCCCCCTCCCCCGGCCCCAGGGGCGCCCTGAGGCCACGTCCCTCCCCCAGGTCTGGCCACTTCTCCCTCGCACCTTTAGTCCGTCTCACTCGGGCTCCGGGCCGAGCGTCCGTCCGGGCGAGGCTGGGGCTGGGGGACGGCGTACTGTACTCCTGGCCCGGGGTAGCTGGGAGGCTGAAGACGGCCCAGGAGGGAGCCGGGATGAGGAGCAGGGCGCGACCGCAGGAAAAACCGGCGTGGCAACCCCAAGCTCGACAACAACCCGGCGTCGCTGGGCAACCGAAACTTTAAAACCCAGCCAAGGCTGCACGCGGGCGCCCAGAGGCGCCCGCGCCAATCACGGGAGCGGGAGCTGGAGGAGGGCGGTGCGCGGGGAGGGGTCGGGGGAGCAAGGAGGTAGGCTGGGGGGGGGCCCTGCGCGCGGAGGGGGCAGGGGAGCACGGTGGGGAGGCTGGGGCGGGGGAGGGGGCTGCCCGTGGCGGGGGTGTGGGGAAGCGCGCAAAGGCAGCGGGGGAGGCTGTGGGGAGGGGGCTGCGGGCTGTGCACAGGTTGGGGGGGTGCTCTACCCTTGGTGGGGGAGGGGAGAGGTTGCCGTGGGGGTGGTGCGCGCGGAGGGGGCGGGGCCGCCCCGGAATCCGGGCGGTGGGTGCCTTGGCGTTTGGGGTTGAGGAATGCTGTTGAGGAAGCTGCCTTTTGCGGGCGCTGTGTGCGGCTGCTTTTGCTTCTTTTATTTTCCCGCAGTGAGTTTTGTGACTGGTCCAGGCAGGTCGCGGTGTCATAAATTTTGACCGAGACAGGATCTCGGGGGCTCTCTTGTCAACTAGCGTTTTTGTACAGATGAAGAAACCAGAGAGAAGGCCCAGAGAGGTCAAGTGACTTTTCCAAGGTCGTATAGGCAGTGGCGGAGGCTGGATTGGAACTCAGGTCCTCTGACCTCAAAGCTCTTTCCACTGCACGACACTTTGGGGAAAGAAAGGGTCTAGGCTGCTTGGCTTGTAGGTAGGTAGAAGGCATTTAATAAAGTAAATACTTCTTGACTCCTAGTTACTCTGCCCAGTGCTGGGCTGTTCCCTTGCATTTGTATTTGCTGACTGATAGAAACCCGCAGATTCCGCCTAGGTCCCTGCCTGAGGCCATCCAGGAGAGGCAGAAGCTTTACAGGCCCAGGACAGGCTTAAACATCTGTCTCCACCAAGATGAGCTGCCATCGGCTCTCAGCCCCAAATCTTGACCATTCTCAGTCCTTTCTGGCTGTCTCCCTCTCTGTCTGTCTCTCTCTCTGCCCCAAATCTTGACCATTCTCAGTCCTGTCTGTCTGTCTGTCTCTCTCTCTCTCAACACGCACATGCTATGAATTGAGGAAAAACCTAATCAAAATTACATTTGGCCAGAATTTCAGATCTAACCCACTGTTGTTAAATCTATTAGACAAATGAAGATAGGGAAACTCAGCCTCCTGCTTTTCTCTTTAAATTCTTCAATGATCAAAATAGTCCATCAAGTTGTTTAGTGATAAGAGAATATTTCTAAACTTTTACATAACTCAAAGTACCTTGTATATTAATTTTAATTTTTGCATGTACTCATAATAAAATGTAGCTAGCTTATTCTGAATCTTTTACCCCTTCTGTCTCTAAATAAAAGATATTCCGGGGCAGCTTGCAGTGGACAGAACACTGGCCCTGAAGTCAGGAGTACCTGAGTTCAAATGTGGTCTCAGACCAAACACTTGGCACTTACTAGCTGTGTGACCCTGGGCAAGTCACTTAATCCCAATTGCCTTTAAAAAAGAACCATAAATAAAAGATACTCCCAGAGGGAATTAGTATGCTGAAGGACTTGGAAGAGCACATTTTCCTTCCCACCCTTACCGCTAGATAGATACCATTAACTAGTAGGAGTTGTTGAAAGTCTTGCCATATTATTATAGTAATCCTATCTGTACACTTAAGTCTTTCTTAGTTGCCCAGATTCTCAGTCTCAGAGGTGTGTTTAACTCCTCACCCCATACACTTAGTCATTTGCCAAGCCTACTAAGGTGTCTACAACTTCTTTTACATCTCCTTTTCTCAACTCACAGGGCTACAGCTGAAGTCCAAATTCTGGGCTATTATAATTATGCTAGCCTACTAACTAAATAGTCTTCATTATACCCTTTCGGTTCCCTATTATCTCTAGAACAAAATACAAACTCTTTAGTAACTAAAACCTTTTACAACCTGCCCCTAGCCTACAGCCTTTTTATACATTACTCTCCATCATGTATTCTAGTGTTTGTGACTGACTTGGTGTGCCTCATACTCAACACTGTTTCGCTGGCCCTTAGCCCTTGTTTTTTAGCTTAGCTGTCCTTTATACTTAAGAGTACACTCTCCTCCACATATCCATCTCTTACTTTCTAGTTTTGTTCAAAGCTTAGTTTACATACTTTTAGCCTTTCTGTTCCCTCGTCTTGTCCCTCAGGCAGTACATGCTGCCCTCATTATCACATATATTATCTCCCTCTCAAAAACAGAAGGTTCTTGAAGACAAGGGCTTTTTGTCTTTCTGTCCCTAGTACCTGGTACACAAATGCTTGATTATTAAGAAATTATGCAATACATACCACCTATATTAGGGATAAATTGAGGTGATTTATAGGATAGTTTAAGTATCAGATTTTCTTCAAATTAAACATGAATCAAAAGGAGAAAGCACATCATAATTTGTAGTCATTTTATTTGATCTGAAGTTGGTGCCAGAGACTCTCTTGAAGTCAGTGAACCATAGGAAATATACTCTCTAAGTAAGCTTTTATAAGGCCAATTCAATTAAACAAGCATGTATTAAAGTGCCTATTGTGAGCAATATGTTAGGCTTTGGGATTCCCAGACAAAAAGGGCAAACTTTATTAGTTTTAGTTTCGTTTAGGTAGCTCATTAGTACTTTATTCAGGAAGTTTATATTCTACTGAGGAATAAAACATATAAGTAAATAGATAATTTGAGCAGGAGAGGAGACTAATTACTAGGAGAATTATGAAAGGCTTCTTGTGAGTGGTGAGATCTGAACAGAACCTTGATGAAAACTAAAGATTCTAAGAGGTAGACACGTATGGGACAACTGAAAGTTTCTCATATAAAATGGAAGCTATGCTCCAAGAATGTCATAAGGTTTTAGCATTAGCTGGGCCTAAGTTTCGTTTTCCTGTAAATCATATAATAGGGTCATATACCAGCTGCCCACCCCCTCCCTTGTTTTGTAACCACTACCCCAGCCTTATCTTTGCCAAATAAGTCAACCTGCCAGCTTCCAAGCTTGTTTTGGGTAGAATGTATCTGTTGGATTCTAAATACAGATTGTAAGGTCTCTTGCTTCAACCAATGGAGGATAAAGAGATTGAGGTAAACAAGTGGGGAGCTTCCAAGCTTGTTTTGGGTAAAATGTATCTGTTGGATTCTAAATACAGATTGTAAGGTCTCTTGCTTCAACCAATGGAGGATAAAGAGATTGAGGTAAACAAGTGGGGAGGGGGGTTTCTTGGAGTGGTTTCTCTAAGGGTATGTAACTGGTTGCTTGCTGTTGTGTCTTGCCTCCATACTCCAGTCCACCCTGGATAGGTGATGCCCAATTCTCACGCGAGACTTGTGAATAAAACTTCTGTTTCTACTGAGAAAAACCTCTGAATTTTATTTTGGGTAGGTGGTCTCAATCCCACTTAGAGATAAGAAGCAAGTGCATTCTAGGAATGGAATGCCATCTGTGCAAAGGACACAAGCAGAGGATGCAATTCTGAATTTGGGGAACAGCAGGTAGGCCAGGTTAGCAAGTATAGAGTGAAGGGGAGTAGAATGAAATAAGTATAGGAGAATAGGGGTGATCCAAAGTGTGAGAGGCATTAAAATGCCAGGCTGAATGTATATTTTATTCCAGAGGCAATAGGGAGCCATTGAAGATTTTTGAGCAGGGAAGTGATATGTTCAGACTGTTACAAGAAGGTTTTGACAGCTATGTGGGGAATGGATTAGAGAATGACATGATGGGTAACAACGAGACCCAACTGGAAGATATTTGCAGTGGTCCAATCAAGAAGGCCTGATGTAGGCCTGAACTTGGTGTGAGTGAAATGAAAGATGTAGATATGAGGGCTGTGGAGATACATTCATGAGGTAGGAGGTATGCAGACAGCAAGTGGGGCACTGGATGATAGCTGTTGGGAGGAATGACTAGACTGTCTTAAAATTTCTGAGTGTAACCACCCTCCCTGCAAGTTCCTTTTTACCAATACTCCGTGGCTTCTCTGAACTTCCTTTCTCCCTGGCTACTCCACCTATCTCTTCATATACTAGCCACAGGGGAACTAGACAGGCCCTTTAAGAAGTAGGCAAGGTTCTGCTTTTTGAAATATAAAGACAAATTAAGCCAAACTTCACCTTAATGTTTTTGACTTCCTGATTGTGTTGATGACTGTAGGAAGAGCTAAGTAGTGTTTTATTCTTATTTTATATGTTTTTTAAGTGTATTCTTTTGACTTTTAAACAGTAAAATGTTTTTTAATTGGATTTCATGGTCTGGGAGTGCTTATTGAATTTAAAATCTCGAACTTGGTCTACAATAATTCAAGAAAACTTGGCAATTGATTGGCTATAGTAGGGGTTGAGGAAAGAGAAAGGGTGATTCAAAGATTGTGAACCTAGGTAACTGCAAGGATGGTGATGCCCTCAATAGAAACAGTGTAGTTTAGAGAAGGGGCAGAATTATGGGAGGGAGGGAATAATGAAAAATTATAATGAATAATTATTTTTTAGACAGGTTGAGTTTGAAATGCCTTTGGGACACTGAGATGGAGATATTCAGTAGCAGGCCGTCAGTGATAGGTATATGACTGGAGTTCAAGGAAGAGTTAGGGCTGGATATATAGATTTGAGAATCGTCTTTGTAAGGGTCATTGAATTTATGAGATCACAGAGAGATTGTGAAGGCTAGAGAGAAGAGGGCTCAGGACAGAGATTTGGGGGAAGTCCACAGTTAGGGAATGGGACTGGTATAAAGGTTTAGCAAAGGAGACTGAAAGAAAAAACAGTTTTATAGAAAGGAATAAGGGGAGAACCATGTAACAGACCAGGACAAGCAGGAGACATTAGACCAGAGGTCACCCAGAATGATGGCAAAGGAAGAATAACCTTAGTGTGAGGAAGTCCTTAGTCTGGCATCACACACTGTGGTACAGGAAGAACTGTGTTTCCTGCCAAGCAAAGAAAATTCCAGTGGTCTTCCTGTCTTGTTTAAGCCTTGTTTAAGTGGGGGGGCTATGAGTTAGAGAAGTGAGAAATCTTTAAGTTTTCCAGGCTCTTTGACATCACAAGCCTCCCGCAAAAGGGTTATAGGAATTGTGAACCTGTTTCCAGGTCATAATT